TTTGTTTCTGTCAACGCACACTCAAGTTATCTTATATTTGGCTCCCATGCGTAAATAGACTCAAGAGTTATTTCTCTTGAGCAAATTAATCTCACTTCGTGACAGTCCCCCACGGTCAACTCAGTGCGAGTATCTAACAAGCGAGAAATTCGCATGTACCTATACACCATCTGCAAAGTCACAAGATGGCGCCCTTCACAGTTGCAGATACCATGTGGTGTCTCTCCACTCAATTCGACACAACACTATACCAAAAATGATCCCACTTGTGGGCACGGTGATATTGCATACTTTCACGACCTCGTCACAGTCACAGTGGTTACTCATTACTGTATTGAGTACAGTAATGAGCTCCTGACTCCACATGTTCCTTCTCACACCTTACGTTCAAAGTCTCTTGGGTTGCTGCAACATCCTCGAGTAGTGGGTTGGATTGTGTCTTCCTTTGGAGATAGATCATTCTTTTCTACTGCATCAATAGAAAGGAACAGGTTGCTTCTTTATGTCCCCCTCTGTCATTTGTTGTAAAACTCGTCTGAAGACTCATCTTTTTTAACTTACGCTCCTTTTGTTTTTATTTTTATTTCCATTATTATAACTTTTGTGGTATAATGATCATTACATCACTTAGAAGCATAACTTGGGATCCTGTCAGTCTTGGAGGGTGGGATGTAAAGAATTGACCAGACACTCAGTACCAATGTCTTCTCATCACCCAGAGGTTAGCGGACCTGTGAAGATACCAGCGGGGCACGGGCCCTTAAACTGCTAGGGAAACGGCCGGCCTTGCGGGACCATTTAGACAGAGTACTGTGTGTCTGGGGGATCCTCCACCGCCAGCCTCCTTAAAGGATTCCTTGGAAAGACTGTTCATGTGAAGTAGCTCTCATGTGGTATACTGAATATGACTCATTTTAAGTTGTATGTACCGGTATTACCAATAGTTATTGTGTCTTTGACTTTCTGAATAAATCTATGTAAATTGTCCTGAGGTCAGGCCTCAATGTCAATTTTTTTCACTACTTGTCCATCGGGCAAGTAGCTTGGAAAATCTACTTGCCTGAAGGCTACCGTGATTCAGCCTGAGATGCTGTGTGTCTATTCTGCATGTACTGGTATGCTCCGCGTGGGTTAGTTGGGATCGGTGTCGTGCGAGTGGCGATGTGATGTACTCAGTTTATTCCCTCAATGACAATAAAGGCAAAACTAATCCTATAACTGCTAATGTGTAAACTGACATTTGTGTTGTTAGGAGTAGGCCTACATCCTGTAAAATAGAAGTTATACTGAACATCTTGAACAATTTAACTTACATGTTGAACCATCTCAAAGTATTCCGATATCTAAGTCTCTTTTGTCTGATTTTTGACTTACTTCAGCCTCAGAACTGGAAAGAATTATTAGATCCGTGCTTGTTAAAACATCCTGGTTGGATCCCATTCCTTGTCAACTGCTTAAAGATCTTCTCCCTAATTTTATTCTCTAAATGATGTCTGTGTTAAAATCGGTAACACCAATATCTATCCTGGTGAATTTACCCGCAACCTTGGGGTTGTATTCGATTGTAATTTAACTTTTCATAGGCACGTTTCTCAGGTGGTCTCCACACGTTTTTTCTATTTGCGAAAGATCGCTGCTGTTAAAAAATATTTGCCCAGTGAACTTCTTGTTAGCATTGTCCATGCCTTTATAACCTCACAGTTGGATTTTGGCAACGCATTATATTATGGTCTTCCTTTGTACCGGTATGAGTTAAACCGTCTCCAGAAGCTTCAAAATCAGGTAACTAGATTGTTATTAGGAATGAAGAAGAACAAACATATCTCACCAATTCTTTACTGTCTACACTGGCTCCCTGTTCAGCAGCAGATTAAATTTAAACTTTTTTAATATTTGGTTTAAGAGCCATTCGGGGCACTGGACCTGCTTATCTCAGTCTCCCACTTAAACAATTTAAACGAGAACCTAGAGCTAATTTAGCTCCAATTCTTGAATGGAAACACCCAAAGAAAGTCAGTGCCGGAAATAGAGCGTTTAATGTCTGTGCCCCTGGGCTCTGGAATGACTTGCCTGTGTCATTTAGACAAATTCCACTTTTCTCTGATTTTAAAGCCAATCTTAAGACCTATCTTTTTAATGACGCATTTGGGATGTTTTGTTAGCGGTTTTATGTGTATGGTATATTACGTGTAGTTGTAATGTTTTGTTCATTTTTATTGTAGTTTAACTAGTATTCTTAATATGAAGCGTCACTGACAATTCAGTTTTGAGTGGCGCTATAGAAATTATTTTTATTATTGTGTTGAAGTTGGGGCTTACAATCTAGAGCAGCGTTTGTTCATTCAAGATGCTTTCTGAGAGTTATAACTGTAACTTGTTCCTTTTTCTATTGTTATCAGCTACCTGACCTGCATCACATTTTTGTTGTCAATAATTCATGCATTTTTATGTTCAATCACCGATCTAGATTGATAATCCCATGTCCATCTTGAATCAAGACACAAGTCGAAACTTCCTTCACTCTCAAGATCCCAAAGACAAGTACTCGGTGAGTAGGTTTACTTGCAAACATGGACCATTTTAATCTCATCCTGCCTTGGGCTTTGTATTATTGCTGCTGTTACTGTTTAAAAGTTATTAACTGCTGCAGTGTTTGCCATGACATTTTTCACCCCAAACACAGACCTAAAGGTGCTATGTGTTGGGGATAAAAACACATTATGGATTGTTGACTTGTTTATCCCAGAGCAACTTATCAGTATTGGAGCCTTCCATTTTATAGGTCTCTCTCAAATGACGTCACTTCCTACAGATTGCCACGTGCATCAGCATTGTTTAGTTCAATTTTCGTGACGCGCATCAGATGAACCGTATTTCAAACATGTTTGGATCAGCACGCATGTGATTTTAGAACATTTTGCACAATGCACAAATTTTTCCGATTTTCCTACAAAGATGCCGTCCAATGAGAAAGACCTGTAGGCAAATTGAACAATCAGTGTTACATCCATCCAAGAAATGTCTGAACTTGTTACATGTAGGTAATGCAGGCACTTATTTGGTTAGTCTGGAAATTNATATGCAGAGTGCTGTGGAAAGAGTTATTTCATTTTAGTGACATGAAATGATGCATATCATGCGTCACCTGTTAGAATCATTCTCACCGTTAAATTCATACACATTCTTTATGGAGTGCCATATTGCTGAAGTGGTAATGATTATAATTCCATTAGAGTGTTTAATTGCTTACACAGAGGTGTGTTTTCTGTTATCTTTTAGTTCTTTCTGAAAGCCACCCAGCTGGAGCAGATGTCCAATGACTATGCTAATATCCAGCAACACAGGGACATGATGCAAAACACTCTAAGCAGGAAAGAGGAGGTAGGATGGAATGCTTTGCTTCGGGTCCAAAACCAAGGGCACAAGTTTTATTTTTGCAAATACCACTTATGAAAAAGAGTCACACGGCATTTACTGAAGGGATCGGGATGTGCTCAAAATGGAGGTGAAGCCCAAGCATATGAGCTGGCCATTTTTCTTCATCTTAGTGAAAAATTAACCTGTTTAGAACAGAAGAGGAAAAAGGGAAAAAAAGACAATGCCGCAGCAAAAAGAAGATGGACAGATGGGGGACACTGCCTGTGGAGTACACCCTTTCTGTTAAAGAGGTTAGCATTTGGGTTAGGAAAATGAAAAATCAACGTCGACACAATGACAAATATATTGAACAAGTTTAGGAAAGACAGCTGAAGGGCCAAATGAATTACTGATGGGATTTAATAATATCAGATACCCTCAAATATATTCAATGGTTATACAGGCCTGAAAATGATAATAAAACAGCATTTTACAAATTATCCCAAAAGAGTTTGTAGATGATAGTTTCCTGTTTAGAGTCACCTTATTGCGATACCTGTATGACAAATAATTATCCTCTTTCGTGGCTATTAAAAGGAGTGTGTCATTCCTAGTGATGTTTGTTATTATAACAGATTCTCCCTGAGTTACAGCGGGAGGTATTTCAAAATGAGCAGCGCTTTAAAGACCTGGATTCCATTCAGAAACTGCAGAAGAAGCGAGAGGAACTGTTGCATATGTCTGCCTGGGCACAGGTGGCTGCAGAGGAGAAAGTAAGCATGACAAGACAAACTGACCAGGTTATCCCACAAAATCAGTCCGTCAGGATTAGCTTGATGACATGTTAGGCGCCNGTATGCAGAGTGCAGTGGAAAGAGTTATTTCATTTTAGTGACATGAAATGATGCATATCATGCGTCACCTGTTAGAATCATTCTCACCGTTAAACTCATACACATTGTGTATGGAGTGCCGTATTGCTGAAGTGGTAATGATTATAATTCCATTAGAGTGTTTAATTGCTTACACAGAGGTGTGTTTTTTGTTATCTTTTAGTTCTTTCTGAAAGCCACCCAGCTGGAGCAGATGTCCAATGACTATGCTAATATCCAGCAACACAGGGACATGATGCAAAACACTCTAAGCAGGAAAGAGGAGGTAGGATGGAATGCTTTGCTTCGGGTCCAAAACCAAGGTCACAAGTTTTTTTTGTGTGTAAATACCACTTATGAAAAAGAGTCACACAGGATTTACTGAAGGGGTTTGGGATGTGCTCAAAATGGAGGTGAAGCCCAAGCATATGAGCTGGCCATTTTTCTTCATCTTAGTGAAAAATTCTGTCTTGCAAGTTACTAAATAACCTGTTTAGAACAGAAGAGGAAAAAGAAAAAAAAAGACACTAGCGCAGCAAAAAGAAGATGGACAGATGGGGGACACTGCCTGTGGAGTACACCCTCTCTGTTAAAGAGGTTAGCATTTTGAGTTAGGAAAATGAGAAATCAACGTCAACACAATGACAAATATATTGAACAAGTTTAGGAAAGACAGCTGAAGGGCCAAATGAATTACTGAGGGGATTTAATGATATCAGATACCCTCAAATATATTCAATGGTAATACAGGCCTGAAAATGATAATAAAATAGCATTTCACATTTTACCCCAAAAGAGTTTGTAGATTATAGTTTTCTGTTTAGAGTCACCTTATTACGATACCTGTATGACAAATAATTATCCTCTTTCGTGGCTATTAAAAGGAGTGTTTCATTCCTGGTGATGTTTGTTATAACAGATTCTTCCTGAGTTACAGCGGGAGGTATTTCAAAATGAGCAGCGCTTTAAAGACCTGGATTCCATTCAGAAACTGCAGAAGAAGCGAGAGGAACTGTTGCATATGTCTGCCTGGGCACAGGTGGCTGCAGAGGAGAAAGTAAGCATGACAAGACAAACTGACCAGGTTATCCCACAAAATCAGTCCGTCAGGATTAGCTTGATGACATGTTAGCTGTAATACTAAGTGAAGCACTCACTAATTCTCTCATCGCACTCTGACAACGACCAGGAGGACCCCGTTACATTGTAAATTTAAGCGTGGCTAGGATGGGATGAAACAAGGAAAGTGATTGTTCTTTCAAGATCTTGCATGGTTGTTATTGCGAGGCTGGCACGTGTGTGAGGTTTGCATTATGTTCTAGGCACAATTAAACTGAGCACGAGTCCCGACTCTGCTAAGATGCAATCTGATCTTTCCATGATGTAAAAGACTTGATACAATTGTACTACGACTTAAAAGATCAGAGTACGATGGTGTATCCGTCGTTACTGTGTGTGTAACATGTGCGATATGCTTGTAGCAAGTCTTCGTCATATCAGCGAGCATTATCTGTATGTGTTGGCTGAAATAGTGCACCCCATGAGTTCACTCCCAGCTTCTGAGATGAATGGGCTTCATGCTGCTTATCTGCAGTGTGGTGAGAACAGCATAAAATTCTTTCCGCTCAAGCTGCATTTGCACCACATCTATGAAGGTCCTACGATGACGCTGATTCATCAAGACAACATGTACTGTATGTGTATGCCATCTTTACTGGGTTGTTAAAGGAGATGGGCCGTGCTGGGAAGAATTCTTGTAAAACATGCATCAACACATAAAACAAATATATATATAACAAGAAAACACATCTGCAAAATTTCAAAATGGGTGGAAATATGTTAAAAATTTTCACAATCCTCTTTCAATCCCTTTTCGGAGCAACGAACATTGAAGGAGCTGATGAGGCACAAGAAATATTGCCTTGTCAGTTCAAACCAGAATACACTCAGGAAGAGATTTTCCAACTCGAAGCTGTTGGCCAAGGGCATGGCAGTGCCCCAGAAGATCGACAACAAAACACTGACTGTTAATGATTTTTTCCTGCACCGTTATAAAAAAATTTCTGAAAGACGTAATTGTCCTACCATTGGCTATTCGATAGCTTTATTCACTGATGTTTGATACATCTTGTTTTAAAGTGAAACATGCATGTATTATCGTCGACAAAACCAGGTGACACGAAACGTTGGGTTGGGATTTGTCTTTAGGGCCTTCTGGGAAAGCTGATCGTGTTTTGTCCACAAATGTAACCCACAAACGCTGGTGTGAAAAGTTGCTTGGAAATCTTTAAAACTGTTCTCTGGGGAGTTGTTTTGATTGCCACAACAGCCACCGACAACACAGTGTATCGGCATTCTTTCAAAATTCACAATTCACGAAAAAGGACAGATTACCTCCGCTATTGACATGTGAAAAAATGTTCTTCAAGTCCCAGCAGCTCAGTCTTTTGTTCAGGAGTGCGGTCTTTTGTTACAAGACCTGGCTCCTTTGTCCGATTTTTGGCTCCCCGGCTATGTGTACAAACATAAGGTACTCGGTACTAGGTTAACCCTTTCTCATCGGGAAGCAGTAAGAGTCGCAGTTAGCCCGCTTTTCAGATATTATTCTCGACCCACGCTTGAGCGAACATGGTGAAAGAAGGCGTACCCTGGCTCTTGTATATATGGTGATTGGCCTTTGTGTGTTGCAAAGAAATGAAAAGGCCGAATTTGCATCATAATCACCAGCTTCACAACAGTCCCCACTTTGAAAAGAGGCAACGGGAATGTGGAAGCGTGAGTAGAGCTGCATGCCACCGAACAAAGAGCCTTTTCACAAGTGAGGCTGGAATTCTCGAAGTTGGCTTTCAGAAAAAAGTCCCTCCATCAAGGGGTTAACACCAGGATTGTCTTGACAGCTGCTGCTGGGCTGTGGTATGCCCAGTATGCAAAGCTTTGTCCAGCAGCAGGCCCATTGGAAACCGCAGCTACATGGTGAATAGAATGTATGTGTGGTATGCACTAATCCTCACACAAAGCCATGGCTGTCAACCTTCCCAGTGTGAAGGGATCAATGGCCATAAGTATGCCCTCTGTCAGATTGGCATGAAACATCACAGATGTACTCTGAATGAATGTCTGCATGAACATTCCAAGTTTCAAAAAGGTCAGTTTTGGGATAATGGATGGCTGAGGTGAGGGGGTTGGAGGAATCTGTTCTAGTCATTAAAGCTCATTTCCTCATAATCTTTCCCCTCGGGTATTTTCCAGACTGTTTCATTGTTTTTATTTTGTTCTGGTAGGTTTTGGATGCCATGCAGAAGGAGTTAAGACAGGAAGAGAGTCGCACACCTAAGTTTGATGAAAAGATTGAGGCTTCAGAGGTAGGTAGAGAGTCCGCTCCAAAGATACTACTTGACCACACAGTTTGTTGAAATCCACCGCCAATGTTGCAGGCAAGCAATTAGTGCAGCAGCACAATCTAGAAATTCTTTATCAAATAGCCTAACGGTCACCACTTGTGCCATGTGCTTTTGCCGTTATGATAATGATGCGGATCTAGTATGGGTCGGCTGTAGTTTTTGTCATCTAGTATGCCCTGAAGGCTTGTCTTTGTACTTCTGTGCATTGTGCTACATTACACAAACGGTGATGGATGCACATTGGGTACGTGGGTCAGTCAGAGCACCCTGTTGTCTGGCTGATGAGTGTCTATGCCTTTTAATTTATGCTTGTATCTTTGTCCTGAATACTCTCTTTCTTTGGCTTAATATGGTCATATGCTTGGTCCAAACAACTATCCTCCCTGTCCTGATATGATTTGTCACATTACCATTGCTTTTAGTTCTTGTTCATGTTTGCTATGTGAGTGTACACTGTTTCAACCAACAGGATTTCAGTGTTGTATATAAACACGTCAGAGAATTTTGTTGCATTGAGTCATTTTAACTAAGTGACTTGAGTCAAGTCATTTGGCCAAGATAGTAGAGACTACAGTGTTTGAATATCAAGACCTGGGAAAACATTGAAAAGTCTTGTTGCAGGAGAGTAGGTTTTGCTCTACATTATAAAAACCACAAGGTGTCTGATATTTAGACCTTATTTGTTTAAATAACTTTTCAGGCCAAGGTAGCCAGCAGAGAGACTCACTTCCGTGACTTGCAGGACCAGCTGACTGAGCTTGGTGAAAAGATAAAAGAGCTTCAGCCACAACATGCCATGGCCAAGGCAGAAATGGATAAAGCCAAAAGGAAGGAGCGAGATGTAGAGGTAGGACCCCTTCCATAATCAACTGCCCAATGAGCAATTCAGTGACCAGCATTAAGAGCCTTTACTGTGGTGGCACCATCTTTGTCAACAGGTGTAACACACGTCACCTGCCTTGTCAACCAGTAGGGTGCTATGAGGTACCCACATGTCTCAGATATACGAACATGTGCATAATGGTAGTGTAACTTGAGTAATACAGATGCATGAAAAGCAGAAATGTCCCTGACCGTAGAGTCACCAGGTCCCTTATTTTGCCCCTTACTGTGAAAACCAGACTTGACAGTAGGTGCTGAAATTAGGGACCTGGTGACTGTATGGTCCCGGACGTTAATTAGTCTGCAGTCACATGTACGATTATGGCTCGTTTCACAAATAAAGATCACTTATTGCAGTGCAATGGTGAGAATGATTTCATGAGAAAGGAGATTGAACGTTCCATTTCACAAGGCAAAGCCTAATGGAGCATTGCACCTGTCAGTGTGAATGAAACTGTTCTTCCCATGACACAGGTCCATGCAAAACATTTATTATTTTACATGACACCCAAATAAACCCCGAAGCAATGCCTGCATCACCTGAATGAATCCTGACAACGCCCTTTATTCATACTTTCTCTCTGCAGAAGAAGATTCGGTCCAGTCAGAATCAGTCTAGGAGCTTGAGTGCAGACAAGAACGACTTGCAGCAAAGAATCAGTGAACTCAAGAACAGGTATTTTGTCAGCGTCTATCATTTGTGCATTTCACGGCAACGTGACTGGTCACTGAGATCGGGTCCACTTTACAAGCTATAAATGCACTTGATGGAGAATTGATAGACTGATCCATCAAGCCCAGCCAACCGATGACAGCCTTGATTTATCTTGAACAAGTGTACATGTGCTCATGACCTGCATGGCTTCAACATGCAGGTCATGAGCACATGTACACTTGGATTTGTCTTTGCAGCCTGTATGCTACAGGTGCATAGTGTCAAGTATTTCGTCATGCATGGACTAATCAGAGGAGATGCCTTTACTGTGGTAGCGTCACACTCCAGTGTGCATTTTGTAAGCTTGCAACACGTCTTTCTTAGGCAAATCATGACTTCATATTGACGGAAGAGGCATGTAACATACATGTAATACCTGAGCATGAGCAATTTAGACATCACAGACTTGACATTTAATGACATCAGAATGTAAGTGGTTGTTCTATTCTTATGTGTTGGACCATCCTGAAGATCTGAAATGTTGTAAGGCATTCTGAAGCAACTAGAAGTTGATTATCATCAACAGTAAGCAAACTTACGTACTCAAACATGCATCAGATAAATGTTCACCAGTTTCATGTAAAAATATTTAGCTGAAGTTGAGTACATTGTGAGCTGTCCACATTTAACTTTGAAGCTTAAAAGACTCTACTTTTATTATGCCAACATAAGCAATATTGCCACTGTTTTACCATCTCGTGTTTCTCAGCGCTCGCCGAGATTATGAAGATGAGCGGAAGAAACGGGAAGCTGAGATCCAGAAGCTGCAAGCCCACATCCAAGCTCAAGAGGCACAGCATAGCACCGTGGAGCAAGACTTGAAACAGTTTATATCTGCCCTTGATAGAGCCAAGGAACAGACATACGGGCTTAAGTAAGTTGCTGCATCCGTGTCTGTGTTTTTAGGTATATTTAAAAAGGCACCAGTCAGTGTGATTTTTTAATGCAGTTTTCGTACATAGTTCCTTTGTGTCCAATTTTACCTCAGTTTCAATTTAATGCAAATTTGCATTTTTATGAGCAAGTGCGTTGCCACCCAAGGCATGAACTGCAGTGTTGCAGCCTTTTCTGCTCTCCTATCTATTCTCATCTTTAGTGTTTTTCTGTTGCAAATTCTGGTTACTTTTGTTGTATTAGTGTTTTTATTTGATTGTATTATCAGTGCGATAGGTCACTGAGTTAAGTTTTTGTCAAAACATTTTTGAGCCAAATTTTTGGTTCACAATCTAAACAAAACATTACAACTCCTCTCCCCAGAATAGTCTTCCTACAATGACATTACATTAACAGCGCCCTCGTTTGTCACGAAAAGCATGAAAAATTGTGACTGCTTTTAATAAAAAGTGTACTGTTCATTTAGTGTAATCAATTGGAGATGTCAAGTAGTATTTTTCCTTTGAAGAGGAGTGGGATGTGTCATAAAACATTTCTCAAGCAAATTCACAATGTGGACCATATAATACCTTGATTGGCAATTTTACAGTAAAAAAATCATGCCAGTTTAAAGTCAGGTAACTCAAAATATCATATCTTGAAGTAGCATTTAGAGCTTATGTTCATTCAAATGTCACCACTCAACTTAAGTCTCAAAAAATTGATTATTTTACCATTCATCTGACTGAATATTCAAATTTTCAGTGAAACAATTCCTGCAAAAGCAGAAACAACCTCTTATGTATTTGTGTGGTGACGTACCATTTGACCATTGAATTTCATGGGTCTGTTCCTCAGAGGAGGAGGATGGAAGTCCAATTGATGTTTAGCCCTAATTGGGAATTTTATTACATTGTCACAGAAACTTAACAAAAAAGACAGTGGAAAAATGAATAATGTTATGGTTTTACTTTCAGGTACCAGCTGCCTTTAATCTTGCTTTTCATGTCTTGAAACATGCTTTTAGAGAGCAGTTTTGTAAACAAATTTATTTGATTTTTTTTCTTTTTGTTGAATTCGATTTAGAAAATAACTTGTTGAATTTCGACCGAGCGCCTCCACTGAACATTTCATAAAATGTTGTCAAATCCAGAACCAGGGATGCAGACCTGAAGCAGAACATCGACAGCAAGACTAGACGGATCCATCACTTGGAAGCTGGTCGCAAGGATCGCCTTAAGCTATATGGTGACTTCATGCCAAACCTGTTGAATGAGATCAACAAGGCCAGCCAGCGATGTATGTTCCATCAAAAGCCCAAAGGACCAATCGGTGAGATAAAAGGGACTTCCTTCTTACATGTATGTCTGTAGTAAGTATAATAGTTGTAGGAAATCAGGAACCCTGTGAAAATAAACATAAATGCTCAAGTACCCAAAATCCCAACATTCAAAATGAAAAGAAAAAAAAAAGTGAAAATGCATTCAAATCGCCTCTTACCCAAAAGTCTCATGAGCAGTCTTAGGATAAAATTGTGAATTGTATTTATGCTTTTGATGAAGAAATCATTCCCTTGGTGTTGTACTGACCAACCCATGCTACTAAAAAACCTGGGAACTTATTCTAAGCACAATTCAAGTACTGTA